CCAGAGGGGGGTCAATTGTTATCTAAGGTATCAGATTTGATTGATCATGTTTCAAATATTTGGGATGAGGAACTAATTAGACAAACCCTCTGGCCAATTGATGTACAACGAGTCCTCGCAGTCCCAATCTCGCAACATGATATGCCTGACTTTGTAGCCTGGAGTTTCACAAAAAATGGCATGTATTTAGTTTGGTCCGCCTATTTTTTGGAGTGGGAAAATCAACATGGAAGCAAATTGCTTCATACCAATGGAATGGGACGAACCACAGTTAATCCGATTTAGGGTAAGATCTGGCAACTATCATGTCTGGCTAAGGTGGACTTTTTTATCTGGCGCATGCCGCATGGCACGCTCCTATGTCGTGTAATGCTTGCTAATAGACATATGAAGGTCTCTCCCAACTGCCCTTCTTGCTCATCTGGTCCAGAAGATACAAAGCATATTCTATTTCTATGTCACAAAGCAAGGGAAGTTTGGAGAAGACTGGAAATTGATGATATTATTGTTAAAGCTTGTGAAGTAGATTGTGTTGGTGAGGCGGTGTTGGAATACTTACTTCTTATGCCAGAACAGGAATCTCATATTATAGGTAACCAGAATGTGCGTGAAATGATTGCAATCTGAGCTTGGTATCTCTGGTGGGAAAGGCGTAAATTGGTTCACAACGAGACAACTCAGAGTGCACAACAGATCTCTATGGGGATCCACACTCTTACGGCAAACTTTGTTACCGCCACCTCTCCTAAGGTTTCCATGAAAAAAGAGGGTTGGTCATGTCCTCTGGTAGGTTTTGTTAAACTCAATGTTGACGCTTCTTTTGATCATGACCTGCTTAGGGGTATAATGGGGTGGTCCTGAGGGATGATAAAGGAAGATTCATTGTTGGGGAAATGGAAAGATAGATTGGTGCGCAGATGTATTGACGGCGAAAGCTTGGGCCCTAAATTTGGTCTATCATTAGTACAAAGTATGGGATGCAGCTAGTCATTAATTCAAACAACATGGAGGTGATTGATACCATGAAGGAAGGAGGACGGTCGGCGGGGACGACTGCGGCGGTTTTTGATGATTGTTTTTATTCTGCATGTGATTTTACTATTTCTAGATTTGAGCATTATAATAGAGAAGCAAATAAAGTTGCTCACAAACTTGCTAGAATGACTAAATTTTCTTTGATTTTTTATTGGTTGGAGGGGCCTTTAAATGAAATTGTATCGATCCTCATAAACAATGTAATGGTGATATCAAATGAATAAAGTTTAGAATTTTTCCAAAAAATAAAGAATGGTAATTATGCTCTCAATAGTCGGTGCTCGAGGAAAGTGATGACACAACATAAAAATTAAAAGTATAGGACCATCACAGAGGGAAGTAGGGATTGAAATGCGCTTATTTTAATAAAAACTGGCGGACTTATGATGCCAAGGTTTTAGGAATTGTTTTTCGGTTTTGACGAGTTAGAAGGGTAACTTTACCATTCTCTTTTTAATAGCCCCAAACAACTTTTATTTCTTTAGTTTTGGAGTTCCTTTGTAGGATTTTTTTTTCATTTGTTTCCATGGGTAGCCATTACAAAGATTGAGGAAACCCACACTTCACCCACTTTGAAAACTTAGGAAACAAAAGGATGATTTGGTGTGACAATGAAAACTTACTAGGAATGACTCTTATTCATGATAGGAAGGTATAATGGACTCTTATGGCAAACTTGGCTCAAGGACATTGGATGCACAAGCAGAATGCATGCTTAGTGTAGACGAAGGCTAGCAATAGACTAGGAAGTGACCAACTAAAAGCATAACGATCATAAACATGCATTTTGAATAAGTAAGCATTAAGAGGTAACATAAGTAGGATACTAACACTCTAAAGTTATAATAGCTTTGGGGATGAATTGGAATTATAAAAACATGTGACAAGTCAAGTCACTTGACTACTTCAAAGGAAGATACCATACTAACATACCAAATTATGATCTAGTATAATGCATGTTAGTATTCAAGATAGCACATAAGGTACACCTAGATGATTAAGACTTAGCACGAGAAAGCATGAATCACCAAGCTTATATTATGCACAATATTACAAACACAAGATGCTATAAAGAGAGCATGTCAATAGACATATGTACACAAACAAAAAAAATGATGATCGTGCCAGCTTTCTTTGTCACGGTCACTTCATCAAGCAATCATCGTTGTTGATTTTTCACTTGCATGATTGAATAATATAAGTGATAATATATAATGAAGTGCAAGTGTCCTCATGGGCTGAAGCCGAATATGCGACCAAATTATACAAATGAAAATACAGTAGAAATATTTTTGGGTTTTCATTAGTTCAAAAGATAAAACAATAAGTCCCACCCAGAAATCTCTTTGTTGTTTTCTCTTGCTGAAACACCAAGACTCAATAAGACACGAACAAAGGAATCCTTTTGTGGATTTATAAGAAATCATGTGACTTAAATACAAAGAAGAAGAAATAATAAGAAAAGCAATAAAAACAATGAAAGGGGCAAATGAAAACCAAAGTAATAATCAAATAAAACCATAAGAATGAATAAAGAGAAATATTATTAGTATTTTCCTTCAAATGTTTTTTCAAACAAGAGAAGACACTCATGAAACACAACGTGAAATACGTTTAGTTTTAATTTTTCTTAAAGAATGCAATAAGAAAACAAAAAATAAGATAATATTATTGTGATTTTTAAAGTTAAGAAAAGAGGCACAAAATAGACAACCAAATAAAGATTTAAAAAACAAAGAAATATTTTAGTTTTGAACCCTTTTCTTTATAGTAACATAAACAACTTACCGAAGCTCGTACATCGAAGCTAACAAATAGATTATAGATCACACAACGCAATGAGGCAAAAAACAATATGCAAATGCTTTCTAGTGCAAGAAATGTTCTAAGAACAAATATCATAGTGCGCGACAACAACCATAAATGTCCTTGGATTCAAGGGAATTTATAGATTTTTGGAGGATCTGGGTCATCCTTAGGACTATTTTTTAATACATGGGCTATTTGATTCGTAAGATTGGTATCCTCAGGGAAAAAATCCTAAGAATTGCCTTGGATTCTATTTTGAGAGAAATTTCTTACTCACTCAAACATATTTACATCTCCTTTACACAAAAATGATTGGAAGTTTCAAGGTTGTGGAAACTTAGTTTGCACTCTAGCGTAACTCACTCCTTGAAGGCTCAATAGTACATGGTGGTATCGAGGCTTTCGAAAACAGTGGAGTTGAGTTGCTTTAGTGGATTGTTTGAGGACCTCGGTTTAGGATATGTCTTGGAGTTCAAACCAAAGTGCCTTTACTTGTGCCCTCCTGATAGTATGGATGTTCGTACGCGTTGAATCTTGGATTAACTAAAAACCTATAAATTAAATTATAAGAGCTTCAGATAGGCAACCCTAATACAGCCATGAATAAACACATAAAAATTGAATTGATTTGCAAGCAAAAGTCCAGAAGCTAACGCTAGATTATAGACCGCAAAATATAATGATGCAACACCATTTGCAAATATTTTTAATACAAATAATTGAATATGAAAAATATATCATATATGAGAGAACAAATATAGATGTCATATATGAGAGAACAAATATAGATGCTCCCTGGATTCATTGATTTTTGGAGGATCGGGATTTTTGTACATAGGCTATTTGATTTCTAAGATTGTAATTCTTAGGAAATTTTCTAAGAATTGGTGTGGGCTCTATTTAGGAGGAACATTTCCATCCGTCAGACTTCTTTACATTTTCTTTGTTTGTCCTATGGCGTCAAATAATTTCTAATACCAAATTCAATGGATTCCTAATACTGTAGGAATGGATTTGAGAGAACATAGCCACTAAATCGGACGTGGGGTATCTGATCCCGAGCACAAATGGACCTGGATGAACAGCAATTTTGTAAAAAAAAATTGATCTTTTTTTTTGCAAACATTGTTGAATGATTTGAGTGCTCGCAAAGTTTGATGATGCAATGACATTCTTGAAAGTTGTGGCGAAAAAACAAATTTCCAAAAAAAACTATTTTTAAAGCATTTTGGAGAACTGTTTTTGTTTTTGTTTTCACCACGACTTTCATGAATGCCATTCCATGATGAAACTTTGCACACACTTGAAACATTCAACAATGTTTGCCTAAAAATCATTTTTTTTGAAATATTGTTTACTACTCCCTCTATAAACTAATATAAAATTGTTTATATCACTAAAATAGTGATCTAAAAAAACAAAGCCTAAGAGCATCTCCATCCGCGCCCCCAACAAGACTCCTCAGACGATTTTTTGGCCGCCGATGCCAAACGGCCCAGCCGCGCCCCCAAAGGCCCTTTTTTGCCGGCTCGGACCAAAATTGGCGCCGGCGGACTCAGGCCGAACCCGGCGCGCTGGGGGGGGCGCTTGGGGGCGCCGGCCGAATCGTTTTTGGCGTGAAAATCGGCGGGCCCTCCTTGGCAGTGACTCGGCTCTTCTCGTCGCTTCATCGTCCTCATCGCCTCGGTTCCCGCGGGGGAATCAATGCCAAAGTTGTCGCGCGCTGCCGCGCCGGTCAACCTCCTCCATTGATGCCTCACGGGCGGCGCAGTGAAGACGGGGCGACGCGCGTCACTCGACCGCTACGCGTACGCACGGCGGCCACACGCCCAGGCTGGAGTACCTCGCTCCCCCCCCACACCTTCTCCCGCCGGCGTGGGAGCTCATGGACGCCGAGGCACATGGACCCGGCGTCCTCCTCCTCGTCCGGCTCTCCCTCCCTCCTCCTCATCAAGCCGGAGCCCCAGGACGCGCCGATCAGCCAGTGCACCCGTAGCTCCAGCGTCCGCATCGCCGAGTCCTGCCCCACCTCTGCCCAACTCGTCAGGCCGAAGGTGGAGCCCGGCCTTCCCGCAGAGCACGAGGCCATAGCCCAGCGCGGCTTCTCCGACGAGGCCGCCCTAAAGTGGGCGCGGGATGACTACCTCCGCGACGAGATGGCCCGGCAGCGCCGAGCCCTACAGGAGATAGCCGCCCGTCAGCGTGGGCGCGAGGACGAGAACGGCGTGGGGATCCTCGACAGCGACGAGGACGAGAACGCCCTCGGACCGTCCAACCCGTCGCGCGTCGGCGACCCTGGGCAGGGGAGCAACAGGGACGGCGGCCGGGGAGGAGGCGACGACGACGGCGACGGCGGCGACTACACGCAGTTCTACAGGCTTCTCGGCATGTAGAGCTTCAAGGGCGGTGGTCGGCGAGGAACGACGAGGACGGCGGCGGGTCCAGTGGTGTTTTTTTTTCTTTTGTAAAATATTATATATATGTTATGAACTCGCTGAAGTTTGATTGAATTTACGTCTTGTTTGGGCGAATGTGGGGCTGAATTTTGTTTTTAAAAAAAACGTAAGCATGAAGACTGAAAAGCATCACGCTCCTAGCATGTGGTTAGTGCGAGTACGCCCCCAGGCAGCGATTTTTAGCATCTCCTGGGGCCACGGCTGAAGATGCTACGTCTGCACAAACACAAAAGAGAGCATGGGAAAGGCCGGTGATGGGCAGGTGCAACCCATCACACATCAGCATGCCGTACATCCTACAGCAAAGCATCTCTCTCTGTGGTCAAGTCTGACTCCAAACGTCTGCCTCACATGTCCATGCATCCAGCCCAGCAGGTGCAATGCATCCAGCCTCCCCTGTCGCTTTCACCACGGATTTTTTTTCCCTTAAGAATTAGTAGTGGCAGTATTATGCAAATTAGTAGTGGTCTTCATCCTTCAGATGCACGGTTGGATTCCAGTGTTGCTGAACTGAGAAAGGCATTAGTAGTGCATTTTAGTGGAGTATGAAATTATCAGTGTTGGCGATTTCAGAGACATTGATCTTTAATTAGTTGATGATACTAGTATATTTTTGCCTAGAGGAGCACCTAATCACGCCACAAAATCATCATGTGCAACTTGGCTGCTAAAAAAAGCATCAGAACGGCACGAAAGTCTTTCGCCGATTTTCTCTAATGCTAAACAAAGAAAGCCAAACTCCCTTGGAAAAATGTGCAACTTGAAACAGAATTTATGCATAAATTCGTGATAATCTTGCACAAAATCATAGTAGTATATGTTTTAAAATACGCACAAAATCCTGCATAAATCGTAGTTATATTAAACAAAGAACTCAAGAGGAAAGGCTCGATCAGTACTCCATTTTTTTACCTGCAAAGTGTGGCGAAGTTCCAAGTTGCTGCCATTAACGGCGGGGTGTCGCGTCTTCGCTTTCACATCCAACAGAAACCAAAAGGGCGCTTTTTCTCTAGTCACTTGCAGCTCCGGGACATCCCCTCCAGCCCAGCCCCCCTCTCTCTCTCCTCATTCCCAAGAATCCATCCATCCCGACAATCGTGGGCAGCTCCGGCACGGGAGCGCCGGGCAGCAGATCGAGTCGCCGCCCGTCTCTCCTCCCGTGTCTCAGGTCAACACGCGAGCAGCTGCTGCTTCGATTTAGAGCGAGGAGACCTCGTCGTTTTCCACCGGCGGTTGTTGGTGCGGTTCTTGGTTCCGGCGCGCTGCCGTGCTGAGATCGGCGCGGTGTCCCTGGAGTTCCTTGTGCGGCTGGGAGAGTGGCTACAAGAGCTGCCTCCGGTTTCTTGCATTTCCTGCTGCTGTTGCGGTGGGATTCTTCCTCTTACCTGCCGTGCTCGAGCTTGCCGCGTCGTCTTGGTCTGGTCAAGACAAGGCGTGCGGCGGCAGAGGAGAGCAGACAGAGAAAAGAGAGAAGCTTAAGCTGAGGTATCTTGCTGAAGTAATTTCTCAGCCTCAAGCAGTCAAGCTATTTCGTGAATTGCAAATAAAAATCTCAAGCAGTTTGATGATAACATGCTGTAAATTGTAATACTGAATCGATTTCAATTTTGGGTTTGGTCAAGGTAGGGTTGTGTGCCATGGACTGTCAATATAATTTCTCAGCTTCACAGACCTCAGTTTAGGTTCACACAAGTAATTTAACCTTTATTTAGGCGTTCCATTCCATGTATGATGGTTCAGAGTTGGATTCAGGGTCGAAGTGCGGTGTTTAGTTTCACGGCGCCTTTGGAGCTTGTGGCTTTTAGTTTTATAGGGACTGGTAATCTTTTTCACTGGTGTCTTTGTTGGGAGGTGTAAGTTAGTGTTATTCGTTTGATGGCATTAGTTGTTTATTGGCGTAGCGCGTAGCACTGCGTTTTTATGTAAATGTGATTGCTAATCTTACAGATGCGTTCTGTCTTCTGCATGTCCTCTTGATCTTGACTGTATTTTTCATAGCTTAACCCAACTAGAGCCTGTCATATGCAAATTTGGCTGATGGATATATGGTTTGGACCACCACTACCACTCCATGCTATTAACATATTATTATAGCTGCCCTATGGAAGTTGCTCTCTTTCATGGTTTTTTGTGGAATTGTTTTACAAATCAAGTCAAGTAAAAGTTTGATGTTATGTTTTCACAGGTCAAGTAGGAGTGCAGCTCTCCGGTAACACCTTTTGCTGTTAGCAGATGGATGCATGTGATTGCATCGAACCACTTTGGCAGGCCGATGATCTCCTTGTGAAGTATCAGTACATATCTGACTTTTTCATCGCACTTGCATACTTCTCGATCCCTTTGGAGCTCATATACTTTGTCAAGAAGTCATCATTCTTCCCTTACCGATGGGTGCTCATACAGTTTGGCGCCTTCATTGTGCTTTGTGGGGCAACTCACCTGATAAACTTGTGGACTTTCGCCACTTATAGCAAGACTATAGCGGTGGTAATGACAGTGGCGAAAGCTGCGACAGCAGTGGTTTCATGCATAACGGCATTGATGCTTGTGCACATAATTCCTGATTTGTTGAGCGTGAAGTTGCGAGAGAGGTATCTGAAGGATAAGGCTGAAGAGCTTGACAAAGAGATGGGGATTATAAGAACACAGGAGGAGACAGGCAGACATGTCCACATGCTCACACATGAGATAAGGAGCACGCTTGACAGGCACACTATTTTGAGAACTACGCTTGTTGAGTTGGGAAGGACTCTTGGGTTAGCTGAATGTGCCCTGTGGATGCCATCCCGCTCTGGAACAGCCCTTCACCTGTCCCATACAATCCATAACAGCGCTCCTATTGGCTTAGTTGTTCCTATAAATCTTCCGGTTGTTTCAAAGGTTTTTAATAGTAATCGTGCAGAAAGCATTCCACATACTTCCCCATTGGCTTCAATAAAGGCAGACACAAGCAGGTACGCGCCACCAGAGGTCGTAGCTGTCCGAGTTCCACTGCTGCACCTTACAAATTTCGAAATAAATGATTGGCCTGAGCTATCTGCAAAAAGCTTCGCAGTAATGGTTTTGATGCTGCCTCCAGACAGTGCAAGAAAATGGCGTACCCATGAACTAGAGCTTGTTGAAGTTGTTGCTGATCAGGTAGTTGTTGATTTTATTTCTGTTCATTTTTTTATATATGTAATCTGTAATCACTGGTGTGGTTGTCTGGTAACCTATGTCTGGCCTCTGATATTATCAGCTTTAGAATCCTACTATAGGGCTGCATTTGTATATTTCTTTGGCCTGCTCTGTGCGAGTTTTCTTATTAGTCAAGTCAATGGATAAATCATAAATGTGTATGCTTTGTGTGTGAATAAGAGTTTTGAAGAGAATTGAGTTAACCTAGTAAATCATTTTATTATGGTTTGAAGTGTGAAACTATTTTTTCTTGAAAATCATATTTTTTTTAGTTTCCCTTCTGCCCTATCTATCTTCCTTTTCCCTAATATGATATTGCTTGCGAGTAATTGGTTTATATCCTGACAAGCTCTGTGAAAGTCATTCAGCACTTGTATGCATCCTTGATTTAATTATTGGAAGTATGCATGCCGTCATCATTGATACTTTTGTTTCCTTGTTAAAGAAATGTTTCAGGTTAACCAGCTAAGTGTTGTTCCTGATTGTGTATCATGCTACACTTCCTATATGCCCTCCTCCAAGTTTAGTTATTAGTTTCTTCCTGGCACTAATGCTTTTTTCTTCTGATTCCATTGTGTTTGTGACTTTGTGTGGTATGTCGTTGAGTTGTTCTCAGCGTTTTGTCAGTTTACTTGGGCTACAACTATTATAAAGTCTTATTATCAATGCTTAATGTTTAGCATTTTCTGTTAGCATTTAGCCTATAATGCTGCTCTTAGATGGATAATTTTGCATTTAATTATTTCTTTATGAAGTAGACTGCACTACACTTCATGCCTGCAGATATTGTAAAAAAAACATGACCACGTTCGCTCATTTTTCTTATTTTAGGTGGCAGTTGCACTGTCTCATGCTGCCATTTTGGAAGAGTCCATGAGGGCCCGTGATCTACTAATGGAGCAGAATATTGCCCTTGATGCAGCACGTCGAGAGGCAGAAATGGCTATATGTGCTCGTAATGATTTTCTTGCTGTGATGAACCATGAAATGCGTACTCCTATGAAAGCCATTGTTTCTTTATCCTCCCTCCTTCTGGAAACAACTCTTACGGCTGAACAACGCCTGATGATTGAGACTATACTAAAGAGTAGCGATTTTCTAGTCACTTTGACCAACGATGTTTTAGATATTTCCAAGCTTGGGAATGGGAGTCTTGAGCTGGACATTGCACCTTTCAACCTGCATGCTGCCTTTACGGATGTAAGTGCCCTGACAGCAGTTTTAATACTATGTTGCCTAAAAGGAGGGGAAAATATACAGTTGGATTTGAGGTCAACTCACTAGTTCATCTTGTAGGTGGTTAATTTGATTAAGCCAGTGGCTGCATGCAAAAGGCTCTCGGTAATGGTTTCCTTGGCTCCAGAGTTGCCTTCCTGTGCAATTGGTGATCGCAAGCGATTGATGCAGATAATGCTAAATGTTGCTGGCAACTCCATTAAGTTCACAAAGGAGGGTCACATTTCAATTGCAGCTTCCATAGCCAGGCCAGATTCATTGAGGGACCCATATGCTTCTAACTTACATCCAGTTCCCTCTGATGGGTCTTTCTACTTGGTTGTTCAGGTTTGCCTATGAACATACACTCCTTTTCTCTTAACTCCTCAATATGCCGAAAGTTGCCACAAACGCATAATACATAACACCATAACTTTCTAATGATGCTTGCCAATGCTCGCCAAGTTAATGCAGTGGTACTCGTAAATGTAGACATTAGCATTCCAAAGAGACCTCGATTGAGGTCTTCAAAGTGATAGATAACCTGAAGAGAAAAAGAATGATTTGCATTTTCTACAGTAATTGGTAAACATACCATAAAGATTATTTTAGATCGCTTGTGGCTGCCCATAGAAGACGTACAAACTAATTAAGGAGCAAAAACAGGGGACAAGTGGTAGGGCTAATAACTTAATGTTAGCAGAAGTTCTGATGTCATATTCTCCTGTAGGTAAAAGACACCGGCTGTGGAATCGGACCAGAGGATATGGCTCACACCTTCAGAAAATTCGCACACGGTGAGAATGCAACAACGAAATTGCACAACGGCAACGGGTTGGGTCTGGCCCTCTCCAGAAGGTATATCAAGAGGGCATTTCTGCACATTCCTTTTTCCCCCCTGAAACTCTCTGATCTCTGTGCTGACCGATGTCTCTACACTCTCTGGTTCCATCAGATTTGTTGGCCTGATGCAAGGGAACATCTGGCTCGACAGTGAAGGTGTAGGGAAGGGATGTAGCGCCACGTTCTTTGTGAAACTCGGCACGCCCAAGAAACCAAATGCAAATGCAAATCCCCGAAGAATGATGGCGCCTCTACAACCAAGCAAAGGTGCTGGAGGCCCCGGCGCTGATGCTCTTAGTATATCCATACGAGATGGCGATTCACGGATTCCTAGGGCCCGCTACCAGTCGATCGCGTGAGAAGCAGAAACGTCGCCGAACGCATGCAGGCGGGCAAAGCTCGACTGATGGGAGGCGGGTCGCAGGCCCGATTTTGTGACCGAAATCGGTACGCTCCATTTGAAGAGCGGGTGTCGTTAACGTGTTATGCTGGTGTAGGATAGTTTTCCTACTGAGTTGAGTTGTGGGGGCGATTGGGTCAGTCTGAGATAGTGACTCGGCCTTATTGGCGGCATGGTGGCGAGGAGAGCAGTGTTTGTGCTGTGCATGAGGGTATTGTTAGGGAGGCAAAAGCTGATACAGTACTGGTACATACAGACAATAGGCACTGCGGCGAGATCCTGTGAAGAGTCGGTGAGCTGCAGGTGTAATTCATGAACATGAACTTGAAAGCATTCATCGGATGAATGTGGCGTATTGGCGTGTTTACACAGATGGTTGCAGTTTGTGCCGGTTGCATTTTCACGATTAATTCAACGGGGACGCCTGAGGCGACCCGGGGGCGAAACCCTAATCCCCTCCGCGCCTCCCCCTCCCTATCCCCTCCCTCCGCCGCCGCCTGAGGTGCTCGCCGGCCCGGCCGCACGACACCAATGAAGGTGGCGGCGGGGATCTGGTGGCTTCGCCTTCGCGGAGGGCCACGGCGTCCGGGGCGGCGGCTCCGATGGGCGGTGTCCGGCGTGGCCGGTGCGGCGGGCTGCGCCGGTAGGTGCTGGCGGGCTGCCTCCCTGGCCGTGCGGTCGGCGGGGGGGTGGCGGGCGATGGAGAGGCGGCGCCCCCGCGTGGGTCGTCCTGCGCTCCTGGAGAAGCTCCGTTCCTGCCCGTGATCTGCTCCAATCTGCGCCCTGCTCCAGCCCCTGGTGGCTTCGTCGCCGTCTTGGGGGATCTGGACGGACGGATCTGGTGGTTGGGCGTGATTCCGGGGGAAACCCCTGGCCGGCGCGGCGGCCTCACCAAAGGCGACGTCTTCGGCGCCGTGGTCCTTCCTGGAGGCTTTGGTGTGGTTCTCCCCTCCCACTTCTCCCTCGAGCACAGGTGAAGACCTGCCCTCCCCTTGCATGGTCGATGGCGGCATCCGGTGCCGTGATCCTTCTTGAAGGCGTCTTCCGGGGATTGCTCGTGTGGGGTGGAGCTGCTGGTGGCGTGGTGACGGTGTGAGGTAGCCTGTTCTTATCAGTGGCGGCTGCCGTGGTCTCGGTCCAATCCCTGACCACTGCTTTGGCTATGCCCCTTTTGGCCTTCTCCATGGATCTTCGCCTTCGTCCGATGACTTGCGGTTGTGAGCCGTTTCGCTTAGCACTAATGTACTTGCCGTGGTGGAGCGGTACTTCATCTCACTCATTGATGGCGGCGAGGATCGGCGGCATGGCGCTGTGGAGGTTCGCCGCCCGATGCGCGGAGATGGACTCGCGCAGGAGGAGGTTGATGTCTGGCGTCATGGTGACGCCGATGGCTGAGTGGCCAGATAAGGTAGAAACCTCGATATGATCTGAAGATGGACCTGCGGAAGATGGTGGCGACGACACACGAGTGCGTCTGATCGGATTGTGCCCCAGACCCAGTATGTGGCTCGGCTGGGGATTCTGAATATGTTTCGGTTTCCGGCTTTTGATGTTAGGCTTAGGTGAGTGGTTCGGGTAGTGGCCTAGCTAGCACCCCTTCATCATTTTGGGTAGGAGTAGTGGCATGTGTTGCCAAGATGGTGGATTCAGACTTATTGTTGTAATACTTTGTAAGGTCCTCGAGAATAATCAATAATATGGCCGTATGCATCTCCCGGATGCAGAGGCCGGGGGTCATCCCTCTTTTCTAAAAAAAAAAAAAATTCAACGGGGACGCTAGGGGTCGGTCGTGCAGAGGATGTGCTAGTTTTTTCATTAAATAGTTTTCATTGCCAGGAAGCTGCTTTTTTAGAGTGAAAACCACCCGGCCATCCTCCTAAGTTTTTTAACTCACTCTCTAAAAAAGGATTTTAACTCCCTAAATTTTGAGTTCACTCTCAAATTGAGCATTTTCTGCTAAAAAAATACTACTCGCTTCAATCCATATTAAGTTGCTAATTTAGGGCATGCGTGTACTAAATCGGCGACATTAATATGGATTGGAGTGAGTGGTATATTTTTTAGGGTGTTGACATCACTTAGCCCTTCCACTATTCTGCTGCCCAAAGAGCAAAATTTTGGCGCCTAGACATTTCCCACTCAACCGCCTCCAGTTGCCGCCGCTCAATGTTCACTCTCCCTCCCCCCACCCCCCAGCTTCGATGTTCAATTATAGGTGATGAGATTTCGCACGTCTCTATTGTAGTGGGGAACCGAACCCAATGGCTTGTGGGCCTTCATGTCAACGTTGGATGATTCAAAACACATTATAAGGCTCGATGGAGGATGAATGCCGCGAAGTGTCAAGTGCAAGTGAGTGGAGGAGATCGGTCCATATCAGCAACAAGAGGCTAACATGATCAGTGAACTGGTGTCAATGAAGATGAAGCTTTCTTATATTCTTGGTTGAACATAGCTCTTGACACCACGGTCGGTGCTGATCAAACTAAGGAAACCTTTTGGAAGAGAGTTGAGGAATACTATGTACGCCATGTCCCACTCACTCGAACCGGACAAAATACTCTCTCGCCCACAATATTCTCCCTTTTGGAAGTGAATGTCATCCAAGATTGTTGCAAACGGTGGTTAGGTTGAGTCAAACAAGTGCCACTTAATGAGTATGACATCTACACCCAAAAGCTATACAAGCATATGAACAAAAGAAATAGGAACAAGGCATTCACTCTGCCCATTGTTTCATAAAGCTCAAGGCAAAATGAGAAGTGGGCGAGAAAACTGAAACAACATCAAGGAGGTCAAGATTGAGCATCTCCGACTCCATAGATATTGAAGATGAAGGTGATGTGTTTTTTTTTTTTTTTGAGGAGAAGCCTCACTCCTAGATCTCGCACGGATGAGAGAGAGCAAGAAAAATGGTGGAGCGTGTGCATATACTTCCTCTATAACATTTTATAAGACATTTTTAGAGTCCATGCCGGTGTAAAAAACGTTTTATATTACGTTATGGAGGGAGTAATAAAGAACTCAATGCAATAATCGGGACAAAGGAGAAATTATCAGCTGAGCACAAATCATGAGAAGACGTCGAGGTGGATGGAACTCAAAAAGATTGAGGGTGCAGTGAACATGGAAGACACGCGCGGCTTGATGAAGGTTGAGAGGAACGCATGTGCAGAGGAGCATAGGCTTGCCTCTGAATAGTCGACTCTCTCCATTTAACTTTTTCGTGGAAATATGGCTTTCAAATTAAGTAGGCCTCCCAAAAGGGAACAGAGGCATTCAAACGTTTCCTCATGCCTGACACACATTGGTCCTCGAGTGCAAAGGTGGAAAGGGGCTTGACTGCTATGCTAGACTCATCAGTCGAGCAGACACAAAAGTCAGGTGGCTTCCCTCTGCTAGGATCCTGAGGGTTGGCCCTATCAAGGCCGAAGTGGAAATGGAAAGAGCAAGAGCAAAGGATATACTCCCTCCATTCCACAATGTAGTGCTTCCTCTATCCTCGTGCTTCAACTTTGACCGCAAATTTAACTATCAGGACCGATTGCGGCGGGAGCAAAAATTATATCAGTGAATTTGTATTCAAAAGAAGTTTTCAATTATATATTTTTTTCTCCCGCCGCAGTTGGTCTCGTTGGTTAAATTTATGGTCAAAGTTGGACCTCGGGAAGCGTGGGCGCACTATATTTTGAAATGGAGGGAGTATTGAAGATCACTCATGGACAAGATGTTGGATCGCCGGTTGCCACCCTCTGTGTACCCTGGTTGTAGTGGCGGTGAGGTGCTATGTGGGATCGGGTGGCTTTTGATGAACACACGTGGTGACTTTTGACGCTAGCTGATGATTTTCTTTGAACTGGCAGGTGGTTTGTATTTGAATGTTATTCAATTTTATGTATTTAAAATGTCAGCCCAATGATTTACATGTCATTCAAAAGTTTAAATTGTTTGTAAAACATACGAGACAAGCTTCATGTATGGAAATGGTTAGGAGAAATAGCAAAGAGAACAGCACAAGTTTAATGAAAGGAATCGGCACATAGAAACTTAAATCCACAAATTTGAAGTGAAGTTTGAGAGGGCGGTCTAGTTCATCACAGTTCATTATGAAGTTTGAGAGGGCGGTCTAGTTCATCACAGTTCATTAGCATTTCTCAGAATCAAGTTGCATTTAACAAGTTTAAATGCCCTACAGAATTATATGTTGCTAAGCAACAGATGGGTACAAAGTTAACACAATGATACTGCAAACTGGAGCGCACATAGACACATTCACCAGTGGACATTGTCAACAGAAAAGCAACAAAACATGGTCTTCAAGCTCAAAAATTCAAAACAGATGACAGCGATAAGGATCTTCCAAAATATCATCCGAACACGGGGGCGATAGATTGTGCTACTCTCAGTACAAAGTACTTTACTAATTACGGTCAATTGCTCAAACAGAACACCAGTCGCTCCCCGCAAACAGCGACTACACAGAAAGGGCGACTTAAACCTTGAAGCCACGGCTGTTCCTCCTACCACGAGCCTTCTCAAACTTCCTACCCTTGGAGCGCACATAGGGCTTGGTGTGGCTGTGCGGCACACCAGGCGCCTTGCCGAAGTGCCTCACCGCCTCACGGGCATTCTTGGGTCCCCTCAACAGGATCTGCAGATGCACACATTTGCAAACATAAGACTGAATTCCCCACAACTGGAAGCACTAACAAGAAAAATAGCTGAATGGAGGTGATGTGTTCATATCACAAATTCCCCACAACTCCAGTTATTAAATAGCGGGGGTGATCATGTTCTCAAACTAGTCTGCTCAGATATAACTATAACGCTTGATTCATATCACAAAGGACCAACAGAGGGAAGTTTTCATAGAGCTGGGATTATAGTGTATCATCCCTGCAGTAGTAACAATCTAGCTGTGCTTATTTTGCCAAAGATAATAGGTTGTAATGAAATAATAATTAGAAAAATGTGAGTGGGCTCAGATACAAAAGAGAAGTTCATATCATGACTCCCCACAAAGGGAAGTTTCATAATGAGCTGGGTAATAGTATCATCATTGCAAAAATAATCAAGACAAAATGCTAGCACTAAACATTTGCATAAGAAAGAATACAAAAAGAATTCGATGCCCTTTTCAAGTAAAGCAGAAAATAGCAGATAGTATGCTCAGATAGAACTATAACGTTTAATTGAGATCAAACAACCCACAGAGGGAAGTATTCATAGAGCTGGGATTATAGTGTATCATCATTGCAAGTCAAAACAATAGGCAATAATGAAATGCAATGAAGAGATCATAAAAAAGAATTTTGAGAATGCTCAGATACAAAAGAGAAGTTCATATCACGACTACCCACAAAGGGAGGTCTCATAATGAGCTGGGTAATAGTATCATCATTGCAAAAATAATCAAGACAAAATGCTAGCACTAAACATTTGCATAAGCAAAAATAATAGAAACAAATTAGTTACTGTTCTGAAGTAAAAAGGTAAACAACAGGTAGTTTGCTCAGATAGAACTATAACGTTTAGTTGAGATCAGACAACCCACAGAGGGAAGTACTCATAGAGCTGGGATTATAGTGTATCATCATTGAAAGTCAAAAAACATTTACAATGAGAGTAATACCTTATGCCAACATGTCAAGAGCTCAGATACAATGGAAAAAAGTACATATCACGACAACCCACAGAGGGAAGTCTCATAATGAGCTGGGTAAAGTGTATCATCATCGCAAAATTCAGAACAGGATGCAATTGCGCAAATTTGAAAAGGGAACAAATAAAATGAAAAATTCAATGTTTCTGGAAGTCAAAACAGCAGAACTAGGTAAATGGTTCCCTCAGTAAAAATATATTGCTCGTCAGATAATTTCAGTATTAGCATGGTTAAAGCATCACTGGGAACCTCAAAAAGATCAAAACCAAAAGAATACATTCAAATACAAATGAAGTTCCAGGAATGGCAGACAAGTTCACTATCACCATCACACTCAATCATAAACATCAGTGTAACAATTTAGCCTCTCTGAAGAAAATTGATAACTGATGAGCAGGGTAATAATATAATGGTACTCTACAGAACACTTGATCAATACAGCCACAGCAAATCCATAAACATAATATAATGGCATCACTTCCTAAGAGCTTATAATATAGTTAAAAGAGCTAACCATAGCAATGGCAAGTGCATATACAAATCAAAAGATCAGGGAGACTAAAAGATTACCGTGTTCTCCCCAGTTGGAGCACGGAGTGCAAGCTGGTCAAAAGTGAGGCACTCCCCACCAGCATTGACAATCCTTGCCCTCGCTGTCTCTGTGAACCTCAGAGCGGTAACCTTCATTGCTGGGACCTCTTGGATCCGCATGTCATCTGTGATTGTACCAACAACCACAGCAATGTTCTTCTCCTCCTGTCAATATACAGTTTAAATATGAGCAACAGTAGGTTGGGTTACCAAAAGCAGAACACTATATAGACCTAGACTGATGGGCATTAAGTTGGTTTCATAGACTAGATGGTTTGCATCATACCCACCATGTGAGAAACTAAATTTGTGCATTAAGTTGGAGGAAATGCACAAATTTAAACAGGGGGGAAATAAAATTAAGAATTTTGTGTTTTTGGAAGTCAAAAAAGCAGCACTAAGTAGATGGTTCCCTCATTAATAATATATTGCTCGTCAGATGGTATAAGTATTAGCATGGTTAATGCATCATTGGGAACCTTACCACTAGATTACAAGCAAAAGACGGTAATGTCTCTAGGCAAAGTATGGGTGCGCATACCTTTCCCTTCATGAAGTTGGAGAGGCGGCGCATGGAGAGCGGCGGGCGGTTGGTCTTGCTCATGAAGAGCCTCTTGAGGATGACGGCGTTGAACTTGCTCTTGGTCCTCCTCACCAGGAAACGGTAGAGCTGCACTCCAGAGAGCAACAATACAATCACAATCCAGAAGCACACGACACATACAAAAAAGCCGATCTGGTCTTATGGAACACTAGACTATACAGCGCTGCATCCAACGAGAAATGGCGGCCAGCCTGGGTAGATGGAAATACAGCTAAACTAACAATCACAGACGCGTCTAGAGCTAATCGAATCACGAAACATGCCGTGCGGATGACATCTTAAACAGGGAAGTGGATCATCGGATGACGTAAGCGTGGGGTTCGCGCGTGGATACCTTGACGAGGAGCTTGAGGTAGACATCGTCGGACTTGGGCGCGACGCGCTTGGTCCTCTTGTTCCTCCCGCCGGCAACGAGGTCGATACCCTGAGCAGCGCAGCAGCGTTAGCGCACGCGGCCTAGAGAAAACACTGAAGGATCTGGATGGGGAGCGGTGGCTGGGAGGCTCACCATGGCTGCTTCTGCGGCGGCGGCGGTAGGGTTTCTCGCGGGGTCGCGCTGCGGCTGCTGCTTCTTACCTCGTCCGCCTCCGGCTCGGGAAGGAGAGTGGCGGCGCGTGGATGGGACGCTATATAGGGAGCGGAGGGAGAGGCGTGGAGATGGTGTTTAGGGTTTTGATGGCTCGTTTGGGCTTTTGGGCTAAGCTGTGGGCCTGGTGATCCCGACGAATGAGGCACTGCTGTTGTGTGGTGGGCTTTTTTCTGTTGGGTGACTCATCATGTCCGGGCCTTCTCGAAAAACTCTGTACTCATGTCTGGGCTTTCCGGCGAATTCAATGTCCTTCTCTATTTATTTTTACTTTGCCTAAAAAGAATAGTCTTTACTATTGCTAATTGTAGGTGCGTTGCAACGGTGCATACATATTCTAGGCATTCTAGACCGTGTTTGGTTACATGCACTGTTTTTTGGCACCTTACATGCACTAAGCTAATGCAGGACAAATCATGTTATTCACATGGTTTGGTAGCCTGCATTGTATTAGTGGACTTAGGAATGCTGTTTGGTGGCCTGTATTCATGTTTCAGGGGGTGAGCACATGTGAACCACGACTGTTTGATTTTGTGTACACGTAGTTACTCTGCTCACCGCTTTTAAATATGATGACCTTATCACCCAAATGCAACACACTTCACAGCAAACATCGCATATTTAGATACATTAAAACTGAACACTAATCGAGCCTTCTCAGGCCATCAGCGTGTTGACCATCGGATCTACAATTCTCAGCATTTCTAGCAGTTGGATGCAACTTCAATCCTACTGAGAGCGCTACACATGCTGGGCAGATGCTCCCTAAACAAAATTGGAGGTCGTCCAATACTCATGCGTGGGCTGCTCCTGGGCTTAATATGCACGGGCCGCTATTCCCAAAACAAAATCAAAGTCCTCTCGTTTCTTTACGACGACCTCGACCTCTCGCCTCTCTCGTTAGACTCCCACTCCCGATCTCTCCTCTCTCGCCCACGACACACGTTCCGCTGCCACCGCTATCCTTCCCTTTGGCTCGCAGCTCCTCGTGCCTCAGTCCTCGGTCGCCCTCTCCTTTTCCTGTCTTCTCTCATGACGACGACGAGCTCTACCTCAGGCTGGTTGTGGCACCACACCACGGGAGCCAGTACCTGATTTTTCCTACACAGCATCTGGAGTCCTTGGGAGTGCTGCTGTCAGATCCAACCTCGCTCGAGCACCCGGTGAGAGGTATGCTGCTGGACAGGTTCCTTTGTTTGCACCAAGTTTAATCTACATCTAATAACTTGTTTATATGTGGATGGCAATAGAAGATGATCAATAGCTTTCAAGAAATCTGAACCTGAAGTTGTCAAACTTGAGTGCAATCTTATTCTTGTTTCCTTTTGTAGTTTAGGACTGAAAATGACTAGGAGGCAACTGAATGTGCTTACATTTTCAGAGCAGCCGTTGTCAGGTCTTATCATAGTGTCAATCGACAGTGAGCACTTGAGCGTGGGAAATCTTCAAGTTCTGTTGAGTTCATGTGATTTCTTACCCAACTCACCCCTGCAGAAACGCCCTGGACTAATTGCATAACTGTTTTTGTTTTAGAGGTGGCACCAGACAAGAGGTTGTTCATCTTATCATAAAGTGCCACAAGAATTACAGCCCAACAGAAACTGAATTTGTTTCCCATTTACCCAAATTGAAATTATACTGCAGCAGCTTCTCCGAGGTATACAAATAATTTCCCCTCACAAAAACCTTGCTTAATCTATCAATCTCAGGTTGTCAACGTGTTCAGCCATTCTATCTAAACTTCTATATGTTGCTAACCCTTGGATATACTCCCTCCATCCCATAATATAGGTCTTTTTAGAGATTCCAATATGGACTACATATGGAGTAAATGAATGAATGTATGCTCTACCATACATCTATATACATTCGCATCCAATCCTTATTGAAATATCTAAAAAGACTTATATTTAGAAATGGAGAGAGTACTTCCAATCCCGTGTGGGCTTTGGTGCTGAACACCAAGTGCTATACAAGTTGGGTCGATGCTCACATAACAAAATCTGTAGTCTGTTATTTAGGCGTATGAGTCGACTGTTCCATGTATGCCTCGCTGGCCTGGCGATTCTATGTCTTTTCCATTCGATACAGGCGAGAGGGTCACCGCATGAGCAGCGATTAGTCACCGGAAATCAAGGAGGTAAATAACCGATGTTAAAAGATTTTAATGGCAACTGATCGACGTGAGCCACTTGCTGGCGACGGATAATTGCAGGCACATCCATTGGTGCTCTTTATTTACTCCACACACGTCCATATAGTCTCATCTGACCTATTGTCCCTTCTCATGCAGAGCTCTTAGATCGACAGGTGAAGGTACAAGATGGTGTCCATTCAACAAGGGTGGTAGTTCGATCCATGGCGCCACTGCACATTCAGCTCCATCTCCATCCATCTTGGCTGGCGATTGATAACCCACAAGTATAGGAGATCAATTGTAGGCTCTTTCGATAAGTAAGAGTGTCGAACCCAACGAGGAGCTAAAGGTAGAACAAATATTCCCTCAAGTTCTATCGACCACCGATACAACTCTAAGCACACTTAACGTTCACTTTACCTAGAACAAGTAACTAGAAGTACTTTGTAGGTGTAACGGGATAGGTTTGCAAGAATATAAAGAGCACGTAAATAAAAACTAGGGGCTGTTTTAGGTAAAGAAGCAATAAAGTTAGTATAGCGAGTGTGAAAAAGTGGTGGTAGACATTGCGAAATTGTCCCTAAGCAATTGACTACTTTACTAGACCGATAGCAAGTTTTATGTGGAAGAGGCCACTACTAGCATGTCATCCCTGACTTGGAATTCTATGCACTTATGATTGAAACTATTAGCAAGCATCCGCAACTACTAACGTTCATTAAGGTAGAACCCAACCATAGCATTAAGATATATTGGTCCCCCTTCAATCACGTATGCATCAATTTCTATGCTAGGTTGAAGCTTCTGTCACTCTTGTCATCCAATACATAGTCCTATCAACATACAACTAACCCTATGGTGTGATCCACGCGCGCGCTCATATGATGGGCACCAAAGGACAGCAACATAACCACAAGCAAATTAAACCAATCATAGCAATTCACCAATTACCGATAGGACAACGAAAATCTACTCAGACATCATAGGATGGCAACACATCATTGGATAATAATATGAAGCATAAAGCACCATGTTCAAGTAGAGGGTACAACAGGTTGCTGGAGAGTGGGCCACTATAGATAGATGGGGGAGGTGATGAAGATGTTGGTGAAGATGACGGAGGTGTTGGTGTAGATCGCCGTCACACGATGATGGCCCCGACGGTGTTTCGGCACCACCGGGAGAGAGGGGGAGAGGGCCCCCCTTCTTCTTCTTCCTTGACCTTCTCCCTAGATGGGAGAAGGGTTTACCCCCTGGTCCATGTCTTCCATGGTGGCGAAGGGGCGAGAGCCCCTCCGAGATTCGATCTGTCCCTGTCTCTGTCTGTTTCTGCGTTCCAGATTCTAGCCTTTCACCGTTTCTTATATTCCCAGAGATCCGTAACTCCGATTGGGCTGAAATTTTAACACGATTTGTATCCGGATATTGGATTTCCTGCGGCGAAAGAAGGGCACCAACCGCCTTATGGGGTGGCCACAAGGGTTAGGGGCGCCCCCCTGGGGCGCGCCCCCTGCCTCATGGCCCCCTCGGGTATCGTCTCGCGTTGATTCTTCTTCCCAAAAATCACATATATTCCAAAAAAATCTTCATAAGTTTTTATCCTGTTTGGACTTTGTTTGATATGGATTTTCTGCGAAACAAAAAACATACAACAAACAGGAACTGACACTGGGCACTAGATCGATATGTTAGTCTCAAAAATAGTATAAAAAGTTGCCAAAATTATATGAAAGTTGTATAATATTGTCATGGAACAATCAAAAATTATAGATACGACGAAGACGTATCAGCATCCCCAAGATTAATTCTTGCTCGTCCTCGAGTAGGTAAATGATAAAAAAGATACTTTTTCATGTGAATGCTACCTAGCATAATCTTGATCATGTAATCTAATCATGGCATGAACATTAAGACACGAGTGATCAAAGCAATAGTCTACCATTTGACATTAAGACAATAGTACTTCAAGCATACTAATAAAGCAATCATGTCTTTTCAAAATAACATGGCCAAAGAAAGTTATCCCTACAAAATAATATGGTCTGGCTATGCTCCATCTTCATCACACAAAATACTCAAATCATGCACAACCCCGATGACAAGCCAGTCAATTGTTTCATACTTTTGATGTTCTCAAACCTTTTCAACTTTCACGCAATACATGAGCGTGAGCCATGGATATAGCACTATAGGTAGAATAGAATATGATGATGGAGGTTGTGTGGAGAAGACAAAAAGGAAGAAAGTCTCACATCGACGCGGCTAATCAATGGGCTATGGAGATGCCCATCAATTGATGTCAATGTGAGGAGTAGGGATTGCCATGCAACGGATGCACTAAGGCTATAAGTGTATGAAAGTTCAAACTGAAAACTAAGTGGGTGTGCATCCAACTTGCTTGCTCATGAAGACCCCGGGCATTTGAGGAAGCCCATCATCGGAATATACAAGCCAAGTTCTATAATGAAAAATTCCCACTTGTATATGAAAGTGATAACTCAAGAGACTCTCTATATGAAGAACATGGTGCTACTCTGAAGCACAAGTGTGGTAAAAGGATAGTAACATTGTCCCTTCTCTCTTTTCTCTCATTTTTTCTTTTTTTGTTTGGTGGGCTTCTTCGGCCTCTTTTATTTTTTTGTGGGCTTCTTTGGCTTCTTTTTTTTTGTAAAGTCCGGAGACTCATCCCAACTTGTGAGGGAATCATGGGACAATGCTCTAATAATGATGATCATCACACTTTTATTTACTTACAACTCAATATTACAACTCGATGCTAGAACAAAAT